CATTAAATCCAAAATGTGGTGGTACAGTCTTCGTCAAGTTGCGACCAAGCTTAACGACAGGTTAAAAAATTTCGTTTTATCTAAAAATTCCCCCAACCATTTTACCTCTGAAATGATGAATTTTGTTTTTCATTCTATACAACACATGGATACCATGTTTTACTTCTTCAGAATGATGTTCAAGATCAGCAACGGGACAAAGATTAGCGCCACTTCTACCGACACTAAATTCGATAGCAAGGTTAGAGGCATTTTCTCAAAGTTCATTGAGGATAGAACTGCATTAGCAAAAGACCCTTCTCTGCTTTTATATACTACTGGAGTCCAGCATAATTGGAGAGAGGTCGACCATGTCTTCGTTTCAGTTTGGATGGAGAAACATCGTCAACTTCCCTATTCAGATGTTAGCATAACATTCCCATAATGTATTATCTCCCATGCTTGCAAGCTTTGGATGCTAATTAAAAAGATGACTACAATCATAAAGATATCTCAACCAAAGTCCAAGATTACTTGAAACCGAACAGCAAAAGTAGTTACTTTTAGGCCCCGTTCGGTAGGGATTAAAATCTAATTAAAATTGAAAATATGACCGTTATTAGGTCACACTCGTCTAATGAAAGTCAACAATAATTGCTATTTTTTCAATTTTAATTTGATTTTAATCCGTACCGAACGGGCCCTTAGTATAAAACTTAACCCATAGAAACACTAAGGGGGCGTTCTCTTTGCCGTTTTCTGTTTTCGATTTTTCAAAACGGTAAAAATCCGTTCTCTTTGTCATTTTCGAAAACGGATTTTAGAAAATGAAAAAAAAATGTGAAGAAAATGCAAAACGACATTTTTTCCGTTTTGGGCGTTTTCTTCACAAACCCAATAGAATTGGAAAACACGGGAAACATGCCCAAAACGTCTCCTCCTTTCTTTCTGCCAGCCACACTCCACTGCCACTTTCCAACGTCTAAACTCCGGCCATCCTCCTCCAAAACGGCCAGATTTATGACCATTGTGAATCCCTCAATCTCTTCTTCAATAACCACACAAA